GCTGATGTGCATCTCGTGGTGAAGGAGCTTCTCGGGTATTGAGAACGATCACTGCCTTTTATCCTGCTAAGTATCATTAGCCTGGTTAACAGAGCTTGTCAGTGCTGTTAGCCCTGGTTTTGGGTCTTTTTCCTGGTCAGTGATGTTAGCTTGGTTAAGGGTCAATTTCTGAGCTTGCAGAATTTGGGGCCAATTATTGACTTGGTTAAGACATTGACTGAGTGTAAGGAGTCCGCATCATGGAAGGTAGTCTAACTGACTGAATGTAAATAGGATGCCCTGCACTGATCTCTGTTGGGGTCTCAACCATTTACTACTTATTAACAACTTAAAGGATGAGATAGAAAGTTGTGTGTAAACTTGTTGGTTATACAAAAAAAGTGGCATTGTAAACAGTATGGCTGGAATTAAAGCATTCGAACGATTTACAGAGGGATTAGGTGAATGGGCAAAATTATGGCAAATAGATTTCAAAGAAAATTCTTTCTTTTTGGGCCAAGAATGGATAGAACATGGTGCATTGTAAATAGGGAAAAGTGAGAAATGGTGATCCAATGAAAGACTTGTGCAATCCAGATAAACAAGTCACCGAAATGTCATGAAGGAGGAAAGAAAATTCTCGAAAGGGCAAATGGAATGCTAGCCTTTTATGTTTAGAATGCTAGTGGATGGGAGTAGTGCTTCAGGCATGCAAAATCCTGGTTGGAGTACAAGTCAGAAAGCTGTGTGTAATTCTGGGTGCTATACTTTGGAAGGAAGTATTAGCCTTGCAGGGAGTGCAGTATTAATTAGAACATTACTTGCACTCTGAGTATTAAGTTGTGAACTGATTTTTAGTTTGTGTATTCTCTGGAATTTACGAATGTGTGAATTAGGATCACGTATAGACTAAAGCACATCCTTTATGCAAAGGGTACTGGAAATTTGGAACTCTTCCCTGCAAATGGCAATTGATGCTACGTCAGTTTTTTTAAATTTTAAAACAGAGATTGATACTTAACAACTAAGTTAAAGGGTATGGATCAAGACAAGATGTAGAGCTAACTTGTAGATCAACCATAATTTCATTGAAAGGTGGAGCAGGCATCAAGGACTAAATGGTTCCCCTTCTGTTCCCGTGCTCTGACCCCTGTTTTCCTGCTTAGATCACCTGCTAATGGGAAGAATTCAGCAAAGTAAAAGGACAGACTAACTTGTACTAAGACTTCTTTCTTAGCAGTTTAACATTCCAGGTGCCCTCCAAACTCTGAACAATGTTATTAACAAGAGAGTCATAAAACCCATACAGTGGCAAGTATGTGCGTATTAGGATCTATTGAATCCCGAAACCTATGGCAAGAGAATCTGAAGGAATGGCTAATATCAGGGTATTGGATTGAGCAGTGCTAATTTGCACACTGCCAACCCCAAATAACTGGAACCAAGATAATGACAAGGTAATTTGTTTTGTTAGCAATGTTGGTTGTGTTGAGTGTTGACCAGGACAACAGAATGAATTAAGAACATTAGAAATAGGAGTGGGAATTGACCATTTGATCCTTTTAAGCCTGCTTCACAATTCAAAGATGATCATGGATGATCTCATTGTGGCTTTAATTCCACTTTCCTGCTTATTTCCCATAACCTTTTGAGTCCCAGATCAAATATCTATCCAACTTAGATTTCAATACATTCAGTACCCCAGTCTACACTGCTGTATGGGGCAGTGAAATTCAAATATTAACAACCTTCGAGAAGAAATTTCTCCTCATCTTCACCTTAGTTGGAGAAGCCTCAGTTGAAACTGTATTTGAAACTACTTTGAGATTTTCCCATGAAGGACACCACCTCTCAGCTGTATCCTATCACACCCCCTCAAAATCTTGTGTTTCATAGAAAAATAGAAAGTTGGTGAAGGAATGGGCTATTGAGCTCTTTGGGCCTGCTCTGCTATTCAATATGATCATAGCTGATCATCCAACTTAGTACCCTGTTTCTGCTTTCTCCCATACCTTTTTGATCCCTTCAGTCATAAGAATTATATCTACCTCCTCCTTGAAACCATTTAAATGTTTTTGTCTCAACCATTTCCTGCATAGAGAATTCCACAAGTTCACCACTATCTGGGTGAAGAAATTTCTCCTCACCTCATTGCTAAATGGCCTACCATGTATCCTTAAACTGTGATCCCTTGTTTGGATTCTTGGTAATCAGGAACATCCTTCCTGCATTTACCCTGTCTAGTACTGATACAATTTTATAGGGCTCGATTAGATCAATAATATCTTTTCGTGTTTAGAATGAGTGTAAAAGCCCAAACTGCTTAACCTTTCCAAAATGGCAATCCTTTAATCCTCAGAATTATCTTAGTGAACATTCTCTGAACTTTCTCCGATCCAAGTAGATACCTCTCCTTAAATAAGGAAACATAAACTGCACATGATGTAGGCTTGTCCATAACCTGAATAGTTGTATCAAGACTTCCCTGAATTAATATTTCACTACCCCCCCACCCCATTCCATTTGCCTTTCTAATTACTTGTACCTGCTTGCTAACTTCTTGTGATTCCGATACAAGGATCTCTTTGTGCTACAGAGTATAACACTTTTTATAATTACACAATTATAATGCTGGTCTTTGAAAAAGTGGCATGGGCTATTTTATGGCCCTCATCTGAAAGGGCAGCAATGGCCTTGTTTAACTTACCATCCCAATGTATAGCCACTAATACAGAAATGGAGAGTCATACTTGATTTTGTGCCCATGTTTCTGCAATGAATCTTTAAACCCACATGATCCAACCCAGCAGTGAGAATGTTGCACACTGACTACCTACTGACAGTTTTCAAACTTAGCCCCAGTTATAATGAAACCAATTAGCACAGCAAAGTCACTCAAACAACGTACAAAAATGACCATATATGTTGTTGTAAGTAATGTTTGCTGATAGGTCACCAGGGAGTATACATTTCCCATTCTTCAAAAACTGCTGTGGGATCTTTGAAGGGGCAGACACGTCCTTGGTTTAGTGCCTCATCTGAAAAATGGCACCACTGACAATGCAGCATTCCCTCAGTATTGCAGTTGGTGTGTGTCAGTCTAGATGAACAGTCAGGTATTTCCCACAATGTGCCACACGATGTCTTAAAAAAATACTCTCAGCCAGTTTTGTGCAGCTGCTGTTACTGTGTGAAAGAGCCCATAACTGTGCAGCCCTCACATGAACTTCCAATAGGAACAGCTTTTATTGTCATAGCACAGTCCTCAGTGAGGAAAGGGGAGTCCAGGAATAATGAAGAAACAGACTGTCAAAGTGGAAGCTATCCACACATGCCTTCAGGTAATAAACGCACTGTGAAGTTATTGGTTTTCTATTGGCGTATGGACCGGCGATTCAAAATCGACATTAGTTTTGACCATTTTGTGTTACTGTAGTGAATTCAATCTACACTGGATTTATACTGGCCTAGCATTTCGGTTTTGGCAATCTCTTGCTGGCAGTGCTGCTGACCTGTATTGACTTATCCAACCTATATTCTAATTCACACCCAAATTCTGTTCACCCATCATTCATACAAGCTGATTAATCTCCATTGACTGTTGGTCCACTGATGCCTTGATTTTGAAAATTTCAAACTTCTCTGAAACCCTTGCTCCTATTTATGCAATCTTCTCCAACTTTACAAATCTCCAATAATTTTCTTTCTCCAATTCTGCACACTTGTGCATTCCCAATTTTAATCACATGCTTTCAGCTGCGTGGCCTAAACTCTTGAATTCCCTCCTTCAACCTTCAGGTTTCTCTACCTCTCCTTTTTAAGATGCCTATTAATCCAACATCTTTGACAAAGCTTTTGCTTCTCTGTCTGAAAACCTCTTTGTGACTTGGTGATAACATCGTACTGTATTAATGATAGATAGATGGTCTTTCAGTTGTTGGGAAAAGTCTGATTTTGTTCTTATTGTGTGTAACTTTGGCAATTGTTTTGGGCTTTGGAGCATTGTTTCTAGTTTTGCAGATTTTTCTGCAAGAACAACTTATGACAATTGGCAACTGGTTAACGAGCAGATAACCACACCTAACGTACAGAAGGGCAGGGTGGATATGGGAAGTGTATGCTGACTATTTGGAAAGGAAAATTTTCAGGACTATGGGGAGAGGGCAGAGGAGTGAAACTAATTGGATGAGTCATTCAATAAAGTATAGGAAGGATATTATTAAACTTGAGGGCTCGGAAAAGATTTACCAAGATGTTGCCGGGAATGAAAGGTTTGAGTTATAAAGATAACCTGGGATTTGTTTTACTGGAACGTAGGCAGTTGCGTAGTGACCTTTTTTATAGAGGCTTAGAAAATTGAGGGGCATAGAAAAGGTGAATAGCAACGGTCTTTTTCCTAGGGTGGGGGAGGGAGTTCAAAACAAGGGGGCACACTTTTAAGGTGAAGGGAGAAAGATTTAAAAAGGATGTGAGGGGCAACCTTTTCCACATAGTGGCTCATGTGTTGAATGAACTGCCAGAGGAGGTGGTGGATGTGGGTATAAGTACAACATTGTACAGACCTTTGAATAAGTACATGAATAGGAAAGATTTGGATGGGTATGGGCCAAATGCAGGCTAGTGGGACTAATTTGGTTTGGAGATGTGGTCGGCGTGGACTAGTTGGACCAAAGAGTCAATTTCCATGCTGTATGACTCTGCCTGAATTAGTAGTACAGACATGATGGGCTGAATGGCCTTCACCGATGTTCCATATTTCAGTGGTTCGGTCAATGTGCGTTCTGGATTAAAAATAAATGTGCTTTGCTGTGTGTGAATTGTCAGCATCTCCCAGTGATGAGAGCTATGATTTTTACTAGGTTAACCTGGAGGATATTTCCACTTGCTCAGATAGTAGGAGAGCAGAGAGATTTTGAGCCTCTCTGGCACTGAATTGCAATCTTCTATATTGTATGTATAAAATTTATCTACTTCCATATAAACAATTGACCCCTTACTGTCCAATCTCCTTCTCTCCTTAGTCCCATGTGACCCTGGAGACCAATAATGCTGCAACGACAAGCGGAAATGATGCCTGTACTATCCAGGCAGAGATGCTGCAGCTCGACCTGATTGATGCTGTTGATGATATCGAGGAGGAGGACAACGGTCCTCTGAAGGAATCAAAGCCTGACAGCATGGCATCTTACAAGCCCAAGCGGCCCACGACCTTGAATCTTTTCCCACAAGTTCCTCGTACTCAGGTAAGACGGAGGAATGTGGCAGTGTTCCTCTGGTCACCGATTTTTAAAATGACCTCGGCAGCTGATCCCACTTTAATCTTGTTTCTTGGACGGCACATCATGTACAGAAAAAGATTTTGTTTTTGATTTTCCTTTCTTGCAGCCCAGCTGAATGGCAATAAAGATGGATATTAAACTTTTCTAGGTTTATAGTCAGTCATTAATCATGCAATTCAAATATCTCTGTGCCTTCATAATCACTATTGCTTTCCCTGGTTACTTAATCCAAAAAACAAACTGTAGAAGATTGCAAGGATTGCCTTCAGCACTGAGTGTCTAATCAGATTACTGTACCAGTAGACAGTAGCATCAGTGAAGTGCAGACTTGACTACTGGGTCAAAACATGTATTACACCAGTTGTGTAATCTGTATGTGGAAGGAATTCAATGATACATTGATGATAGAAACTGCAATTAGTGCTTAAAATTGTGGAAGTCAAACAACATGACAATAGAAATCCATTTCTAATCAAATTGACTGGTCTTAATGGTTCTTGCAGAAAATCACTTACAAATCTGCTTTGCTAGTAACAAGTGAATGACTCATAACTGTCTGTAAGCTGTAAAATAAAAATAGAAGGGTCGTGTTTGTACATAGAGCCGTTCACAACCTCAGGATGAAAAAATACTTGACAACCAACAAAATACCATTTTGATATATAGTCATTGCATTGCAGAAATGCAGCAGCTAGTTTGGACACAGTAAGCTTCCACAAATTGAAATGTAATAATGACAAGATAAACTCATCCAGTGATGTTGATTTGAGGGTTGAATGTAGACCTGGATGTCAGGGAAAACATTTTCCTTGCCTTAACAGCCATTGGAATCTTTTACGTGTACCTGACATGTACATCGGCCTCTGTTAATTGACTTATCTGAAAAGTGATGATTCTAATGCTGCGGCATTACCTTAGTATTGCAACTGGGAGCGTTGGCCCAGATTTTTTGTTCTGAAATCTCGGGAGTGGGAGATGAATCTAACACTTTGTGACTCCGGGGCAAAAATGTGTCACAGTCTCCCATGCACAAATACAAATGTCATGACTTCGGTGACTGATTTATTCCCATTGCTGTCACTCTGCTATTTGCTATTGATCTGGGTGAATGTGTGTAGAGTCAGAGAAGACTTGCTGTCCCCACACAGATTGGCAGATTTCAAATGGAGATTTTGCTTTTATTAACCTGTTGGTATACTAACAAATTTAACATGGTAATTCCTGGTAAAGTGACAATCAAACCATTTTGGTGGGTTAGGAGGGAATGGAAGAGAGGTGCCAATCTCCTCTGAATGAATTGAAAGGAAGTATCAGAAATACTTGGGGGTCAGGAAAGTGAAGATTTTTTGATTTGTCTCCTAGGGAAGAGTATTTTCCTCACCCACCGTAGAATGGAAAATAAATAAACTTTATTGGTCTCATCGACATAAGCCAATAAATCACCATTTTTCTTACTATGGGAACAGCACTTTAGAATATGAAAGGGTAAATAATGTCCCATCTCTCTTATTTTAAGTTTTTCCTCTTTTTTTTTCATGGGGGATGTGGGCATCACTGGAAAGGAAAGAATTTGAAGTGAGAATTTTATGTAGCAATTTGAAAATATGCAAGAAATTCTGCAATCTGCATTTTTCTTCCTTACCAAATATCCCTCTGAGAATATGTCGAATTTTCTTTCAGAACTATGTGCCCTCTAAACCTGAATAATGTCACCATCCTCCCAGGATCAGGTGCAGTTTATAACTTTTGGGCCCCTTCCTTTGCCTGCTACTTGACTTCTGAGATAAAACTAACGGAAGTGTAAAGCTGTAGCCCATTTCAAAATACGAGGATGGTGACTAAAGTAGGAGCAAAATTCCATTTTGTTTGTTTTTATTTAACAGAACGGGAGCAGAAGTAGCAGAAATGATCCAAAATCCATATAAATAAAACATTTTAATGTAGAATTTCATAGCTCTGAAACAACAGGCCACTCAACCTAGCTTCATGATCGTGTATCTACTCTTCATTAATCTCCTCCCAGCCCACTTCATCTCACCCTATCAGTATATCTCTCTTCCTTTCTCCCTCAGATATCGCTTAAATGTATCTAAGCTATTTGCCTTGACCAAAATTTATGGCTGTGAAGTTGAGATTCTCACCAGCTTCTGTGTAAAGTAGTTGTTTCTCAGTTTCTTATTGAAACGTTGAAAATAAGAGGAGGAGTAGGCTATTCAGATCTTTGAGCCTGCTCTGTCATGCAATATGATCATGGCTAGTTATCCAACTGAACACCCTGTTTCCACTTGCACCCTATAATCTTTGAACTCTTTTTAGCCCCAAGAATTACATCTGTCTCATTATTGAAAGGGTTCATTGTTTCGGCCTCTATCTTACTTGGCAGAGAATTCTACAGGCTTGCCACTGTCTGGGTGAGGAAATTTCTCCTCCTCTCAGTCCTAAATAGTCTACCCTGTTTTAAGTATGAAATAACATCTCTGAACAGGTTGATTTAGAAAAATATCTAGACTATGACCCCTGGTTCTAGAGTCCTGGTTGTCAGAAACGTCCTTCCTGCATTTAATCTGTCTGCTCCTTTAGAGTTTTAAAGGTTTCTGTGATCCCAGCCACACCCCCACACCTCTCATTTTGTTCACTTGTGTTTACACCAGTCCAAACTGATTCTCTCAACATCATTTTTTACTATCCCAGGAATCATTCTAGTAAACCTTTGTTGCACTTCCTCCATAGCCAGAACATATCTCCTCCAATAAGGAGATCCAAACTGCACACAACACCAGGTGTAGTCTCATCCAAGGCCTTGTACAATTGCAGCAAGACATCTCTGCTCCTGTACTCAAGTCCTTTTCCTATGAAGGACAACATACCATTTACCCTCTTCTTCACCTGCTGCACCTACACGCTTGCTTTCAGAGACTAATATGCAAGGACACCTAGGTCTCATTGCACTTCCCCTTTGATAATCTATCACCATTCAGATGATAATTTGCCTTGTATTTTTATTATCGGAGTGAATAACTTCATGTTTATCCAGACTATATTTCAACTGTCATGTATTTTCACCTTCACTCAACTTGTCCAAATCACACTGAAACATGTCTGCATCCATCTGTCAAGTCGTCCTTCTACCCTTTTTTTTCGAACCAGTGAGGGAGCAAGTTATCGTAGATCTAGTCCTGTGTAATGAGACAGGAATAACTAATGATCTCACAGTTAGGGATCCTCTCGGAAGGAGCGATCACAGTATGATCGAATTTAAAATACAGATGGAGCGTGAGAAGGTTAAATCCAGTACCTATGTCCTGTGCTTAAACAGAGGAGACTATGAAGGAATGAGGGAGGAGTTAGCTAAGGTAGAATGGGAGCAAAAACTTTATGGTGGGTCAATTGAGGAACAGTGGAGGACTTTCAAAATGATTTTTCACAGTGCTCAGCAGAAGTATATTCCAGTGATAAAGAAGAACTGTAGGAAAAGAGAGAGCCAGCCATGGACGTCTAAGGAAATAAAGGAAAGAATCCGATTGAGGGAAAAAAAAACACACAAAAAAGCAAAGAGTAGTGGGAAACTAGTAGACTGGGAAATCTTTAAAGGCCAACAGAAAGCCACAAAAAGTTGTAAAGAAAAGTAAGATAGATTATGAGAGTAACCTGGCTCAGAATATAAAAACAGGCAGCGAAAGTTTCTATAAATATGTAAATCATAAGAGTGGCGAAGGTAAACATTCATCCTTTAGAGGATGAGAAGGCCAATTTAATAACTGGGAATGAGGAAATAGCCGAGACATTAAACAGTTATTTCGTGTTGGTCTTCACAGTGGAAGACATAAATAACATGCTGAAAACTGATGGCAAGAATGTTATAGCAGGTGAGGACCTAGAAACTATCATTATCACTAAGGAGGCAGTGCTGTGCAAGCTAATGGGGCTAAATGTAGACAAATCTCCTGGCCCTGATGAAATGCATCCTAGGGTACTAAAAGAGATGATGGGGGAAATAGCAAATGCACTAGTAATTATTTACCAAAATTCACTGGACTCTGGGGTGGTTCCCGCTGATTGGAAAACAGCCAATGTGACGCCACTGTTTAAAAAAGGAAGTAGACAAAAAGCAGGTAACTATAGGCCAGTTAGCTTAACTTCAGTAGTGGGGAAAATGCTTGAATCTATCATTAAGGAAGAAATAGCAAGACATCTGGATATAAATTGAACCCATGCTGGGTGTTCCCAATGGGACATGAAGGGTAGGTCATGTTTAACTAATTTGGTGGAATTCTTTGGGGACATTACTTGCATGGTGGACAATGGGAATCCTGTGGATAGGGTGTATCTGGATTTCCAGAAGGCATTTGACAAGGTGCCACACCAAAGGCTGCTACATAAGATAAAGTTGCACGGTATTACAAGTAATGTATTGGCATGGATAGAGGATTGGTTGACCAGTAGAAAGCAAAGAGTAGCAGTAAATGGGTGTTTTTCTGGTTGGTGGTCAGTGGCTAGTGGTGTGCCTTAGGGATCAGTGTTGGGACCACACTTGTTTACAATTTACATAGATGATTTGGAGCTGGGGACTAAGTGTGGTGTGTCAAAATTTGCAGATGACACTAAGGTGAGTGGTAGAGCAAAGTGTGCAGAAAACACAGTCTGCAGAGGGATATAGATAGTCTAAGTGAGTGGGCAAAGGTCTGGCAGATGGAGTACAATGTTGATAAGTGTGAGGTCATCCATTTTGGTAGAAATAACAGCAAAATGGACTGTTTTAAATGGTAAAAAATTGCAGCACGCTGCTGTGCAGAGGGACTTGGGTGTCCTTGTGCATGAATCGCTGAAGGTGGGATTGCAGGTGCAGCAGGTGATTAAAAAGGCAAATGGAATTTTGTCTATCATTGCGAGAGGGATGGAGTTTAAAAACGGAGGCTATGCTGCAGCTGTATAGGGTCCTGGTGAGGCCACACCTGGAGTACTGTGTGCAGTTTTGGTCTCCTTACTTGAGAAGAGATATACTAGCACTGGAGGGGTTCAGAGGAGATTCACTCGGTTGATTCCAGAGTTGAGAGGGTTGGATTATGAGGAGAGACTGAGTAGACTGGGATTATACTCATTGGAATTCAGAAGGATAAGGGGAGATCTTATAGAAACATAAGATTATGAAGGGAATAGATAAGGTGGAAACAACCTCCCTGCCTCCACTAGCAGGTGAAACTAGGACTAGGGGGCACAGCCTCAAAATAAAGAGAAGCAGATGCAGGACTGATGTCAGGAGGAACTTCTTCACCCAAAGGGTTGTGAATCTGTGGAATTCCCTGCCCAGTGAAGCGGTTGAAGCTACCTCGCTGAATGTGTTTAAGGCAAGGCTAGATAAATTTTTGAACAGTAAAGGAATTAAGGGTTATGGTGAGTGGGTGGGTAAGTGGAGCTGAGTCTCAAAGAGATCAGCCATGATCTTATTAAATGGTGGGGCAGGCTCGAGGGGCCAGATGGCCGCCTCCTGTTCCTAGTTCTTATGTTCTTACCCAGTTTTGGATTTATTAGGGATGATTTTACCTTAATGGCTCTTAGCTTTGGTCTCTTTTTCTGTTCCCCACAAGAGGGGAGCAACTTCTCTGCTTCCTCTCTACTGAACTGCATCTTAATTCTAAAGACTTCTATGGGATTACTCCTGGGATTTCTCTCTCAAAAGAAGAGAGCTTCAACCTGCTCAGTCATTCCTGAGAGCTGGAAGCTCCAAATTCTGGCATGTCAAAAATACCCCTTGATCGTGTTTCTTGTAGAAGTATTCACTCGTTTTCTTTAAAATGACAAAAGGAACAATTTCGGATGGGCAAACTGGGTGCTTGTGCATGTCATTTGGTGTTATTTTGAGGCTGCGACCACCAGCACACCAATATTGAACCACTCTACATCCAGGCTTACTCCCCTTCAAGTTATTTATTCTTCCCAAATCAATGCTTCGATTGATTTGGCCCTAATCTCAAGTCAACAATCTACCAACTTGCTTAACTCTGTTGTGCAAAGTTGAGATCTGCAAAAAGTAGACATTGCAAGACTTGTGGAGCTCCCTGCAATTTTCTATTATTTCATTGTAACATTTTGCCAATTGGCAAGGGGACATTAGCCATTTGAGCTCTTAAGGTCCAATCATTATGGAAGCCACGTATTTTAAAGTTATTATCATTTAGTTTAACTTTCTTCAACTTTTTATTTGAGTGTGTAAGTTGTAAACTTTTGGAGTCATTATTGAAGGAATAAAACACAACTATAGTCTTGTATGCCCTGTGAACTCCACAAAGCACTTCATAGTCAATGATTGTATCAGAGATAGTAGGAGCTGCAGATGCTGGAGAATCTGAGATAACAAGGTGTAGAGCTGGATGAACACAGCAGGCCAAGCAGCATCGTAGGAGCAGGAAGGCTC